TATGAGAAAATCTCCCACCCAATTTAGTAAATTGCCCCTTATCCCGGATTCGAGAAGAGTGCCCTTGTTTTTATATATTGTTTTTATTATTATATTATTGTAGGTTGTCCATGTTTAAGTCTTGTGTCCTTACTCTTGTAAAATATTTAGTTTATAGTTTGTCCTTTTATTTTTAGTATTGTTTTTATTTTTTATGTATAGCTTTCTTTATTGCTAGTAGTTTTACTTATGACTTTTTGTTGTATTTTTATTGCGTACTGCTAGTATATTGTTATTCTTTATCTATCGCCTTTATTATTGTTTACAATATTATATCGCTGCTTTGACATATTGCTTATGATGCGGGACAAATTTACATCATACGATGCATTCGAAGAGGCAATTGAGCGTTTTAGTCATAGGTATAATTCGGTGGATATTGGGTTTTAAAATGGGCATTTCGGTTGCATTTTATGTAATTGTATACTTCGGTGTTCTCACAATCAGTAAGATAATAATAAGGAATACGAACAGCCAAACAATAAGAGATAAAACAATACTAAATATAAAAAATAAAATTATGACAATCAATCTACAATAATATAATGATAAAATGTAGCCAAGAGGAAGTAGCCAATGAAGGAACAGCACGGTTCCACACAATTCATCTGGGTTAACGCTTGCAACGTACGCTCTAGGTCCGTCAAACGCACTTTCCTCAACCAGATCACAACAACTGTTTCCCTTATTGCACTTATATCTTATCTCTCATTCAGGGAGTCGCCATAAGCACTGTGTTCAGGTCAAGACATTGAAATCTGACCTTGAGTCTATGATAGGGCGCAGTTGTCGCTGCAGGTGTCGGTCCCCCGAGTCAGGCGTTGTAAACGCGTCATGATAGTTCTGACGAATCTCTGACGACCACGTTCTCCGAAATAGAGGCTACTCAGTTACCCGAGGCAAGCGTTACGCTATACGGAACAACCGATCTGACTTTGTATTAATTTCTTGATGCTAGAAGCAGTTGGCTTACCCGGGTCTCGACTAGGTTAATCGCCTCCGCGATTTCATCCTTGGTTGCCGCCTCCTTGTCGAGCTTCTCCAGGTGTGGCAGGGTGCCCAGAACAACCGGTCGGTATTCCTCGTGTTCAGCGATTGGATTGTCTGTGAAATCGAAGGTATACACATGGGCAAACAGTTAGACCGATTTCGGGACAACCAGGTTCACATGTTTAGAAAAAATTGAACTTTTCTACGAGTATATTTACTTTTGCCCAAACTATAGGGGCAAATCAAAACGCTGAATTGCCAGTTTTTGGGAGTGGGAACATTAGCTTATGTTACAGGATGATAAGTCGATGAATTGCCGCCCCCAACGAAAGCTGTTGTGTTTGACACCGACCACCAGTGACCCAGTTTTCGCCTCTCCGGAGAAGGAGCAAGCTTCACACACAGAAACTTTCCAGCGTTGGTATGACACACCGAATATCTCCAACGAATTTTGTCCTCCAGTCTCAACTGGCACTAAAGAGTGAAAAAGCATCCGTTGAGGAACGTTCACCTATGGTTAACGGAACTCACTTGTCCCGCTCCGCCTTGAGTCGCATTTCTCGGGCCATGACAGCAGGTGTGGAGGCTAACAGCCTAGGCATATAGCATTGTCGGCGAAGACAAGAGAGACTGGAATGGCTTCTTAGCCGTCCTCAGCCAATCATACCCAACGCCAAGTAGTGCACCATCCGAGGCTCGATCTCGTGACATTTTCGATCATAGTCTAATTCTCTAACCACTGAGCCCCGAGCTCGTTGTCTTGCCGGTTTTGGTCGGGAGATATAAGCACGCGTTGATGAACGTTTACAGACCACTAACGGAACTCCCCTGTCCCACTTTGTCTTCAGTCACGAGTTCGAGCCTCGGGTTGTGTACCACTTGGGGTTGGATATGGCTGCCTGACGACGGGCAGAAACAGGCATTCCAATCTCCCTTGTCTTTGCTGACAATACTATCTACAGTGATAAATCATCTTGGGGCCAGATATGCAGATTGAGAGACGAGTTGGGTCAGAATGGAAAACAAAACCTCACGCGACTCACTAGACACCACTAAACTACACCTTGAAGGCAACTCCGCCAACATTTTAAGAAATAGGGTTAAAGGCAAAACGTATGCAACAGGGCACGTGAAAATCTTTTTGAGAGACTTACCACTTAGAACCAAGTATTTCAGTGCCGGAAGGACGGCGAGCTTCCTTACTTCTCGAAAACGTTTTATCTCGTTGCCCCTGGTAGAAAAAAACGAGAGTTGAGTTTTGCGAATTATGCTACAACATTATGCACTTCGAAAATAATAGGTCTTGGTAAATGATTGCAAACTGCTTTTCCGGGAGATGTTCCTGAACACTTTGGTTACGAAGTAGATGCGGACTGTACACTCACCCGAGCCGACATCCGCGTAGTTTATTTTACATCGATGTACTTAAAAATGTTCAGGAGAACTTGTGGTGGGCGTTAGTGCCACTGTGGGAACCCATGATTGATGATTCATCACACCAAGGCTGCAGTCACAGTGACTGCCCGTACCCCGTCTGGCGCAACCTACTAACACATCCAGTCTCGGCTGCGCCCACGCCGGTGCGTAACCTCGTGCAGTCCAACCAATGACCTTCAAGGCTGCAGCCAACTGTGGCTGCTCGAATGTCTGCCCCCAGACATCACTCCGGACCTAGTCCGCCCCGCGACTAGACGTGTGCTCCGGCAGTCAAGACTTTGTCCTTAGTATTCTCCTTTCCGTCTGTACAGAATACACTCTTCCTATCACTCTGGCCTTCCCATGACTTCTGTCCTCTCTTAAGGAAACGGGCCTGGAGGATCACAGCCGTTAGGGTCTAACCTTCTTAACCTTAACACTTCTCGATAAACTCTTTTGTCATGAAGAAAATGTTGGTGGAGGTAAGGATTGGAGAAAGGCATATTGTTTTCAGAGAAGACAGTTATTATTGGCTACGAGAAAATGCATTAAAAACCTCGCACATCATTCTCGCAGAAAAAAAAACACGCGCATATTTGTAGAATTCCTTTCAGATCGACTACGATCCTGTCCAATTCGCTACAATAAAAGGACTAGAAAAGTTCCACCGGTTTTCTGCGATGGGGTAAATCAGATTCCAGTGAAGCACTATGGCCGCAGCCAGTAACAAGTAGCTGTCGGTAACATGCTGATAGCAGGTAGTCAGCATGCGCGGGAAACCACGCGTGTGATTTTCATTGAGATTTATTGAGTATAGAATCCTTGTTATGGATGGAAAATAACAAGAAATGAACGGCCTCGAAGAGCTGCTGACGAAGAATCAAATAAAGTTATCGTTTATTTTGCGCTTTTATACGGTTACATCCCAAACGAAGGCCTAAAAGAGCTGACATTTGCACTCAGATTCAGCCGGCCACTAGATTTTTCGTTCCATCATATACGTCTCGAATGACACTGGCTGACTGATGATGATGATGGCAACTACAAGTCGAAAATGACCCTTCTAGGCAAGGATGCCTGTCTTTCGTCGGTTTTATTTATCAATAAGAATTCCATTAGAAATAGCTACAGAGACCAGTAATAAATGGTGTCTTTGGAGGGCTATTTAATGAAATGCTAGAATGGGGGATATGAGCCCTAGCTTTGGCTTCGTCAGCTTCACCTCTGACAGATGGTGGCTTCAATGCTAGCATCGGTACTACTACACTTCTTGTAGCAATTGAGGGGATATGAGCCCAGTGCTGAACTTAATCAGCGTCACTTCTGACTTACAAAACAGTCAGTAAAAGTACCAGCAAACATTATCACCCAGCTGCACCCTAGTTAGTAGCATTAGAAATAGCAGAAGTGGTAGTAGCAGTACCGGTCCTGGCTGACTTGAGTCTGGCTAGACATTAATATAGGCGAGTAAGGGTTGACAGTGCAGTAGTACCCGATTGATGATGGTCGTATCTGCCTAGCAGGCGTGCATTCTCGCCGGATGTCTTACAAATCAGCCCGGATGAAAGCTTGGGAC